ATATGATAAATACACAATAAAATCTCGCATCATAACTCGACGAGTACGAGCGTGCGTTTAGTTTTGATCGTCTTTGCTGGGAACTGGGTGGTTATCGACGATCATCGTTATGCTTTTCGCGAACAGCGCAAAGCAGAGAGTCAATAGGGACGCTGTTGGACATTCACGCAAAGCATTATCGCGACGAATTTGATCGTGTACGTCGGTTCGTGCACATCGCAACTGAAGACAAACATCGAACGCCGACTGCCTGCGACCTCACGTATGCACGAATGGAGTAAATAATATTTGTTCCTAAATCAAAGCGAACACGCGTGTTGCTGCGTAAATATATCGTGGCTGGCGGGAAACACGTAACTCGGTTTCGCACTTTGGGTATGTTGACGACTCAGCCGAGTTTGAGAGCCGGCCGACGACTGTGCGTTAGCTTCCTTCGTTTTAATTTAGGCTTCTTCGTTTTTTTTTTTTTTCACGTGTATTTTAGCACTGTACACGCTGTTGACATCTGGTTTGGAGTGCACAGAGTCACAGACCTCGTGCACTCGGGCCCTTTTCGATGGGGTCGTCGTTGCCGCGACGGTGACCGAGGAACGAAATTCATTACTTTCTCACTTGGGTGAGCGTCCGAGGATCACTAATTAGTTCACGTAACTGGAAAATTCAGAATATAATTCACGAGGGTTTTACCGGTGAAATGAAATCCCCGCGAAAGAACTGGTCCGATTTCTGCAGCCGCCCACAGAGCAAAAAACCACGACGGCAACGCCACACTTTCGTTTCGCCGCCCTGCCGCCCCCCGAATGCCCCGCGCGAAAGCCCGTGAACGCAACTCGACGCACACACGCAAAAGGATTTCAACCATGCCAGGCTTTACGATGTTTACCAAATCTCGCTGATGTTACATTCTCCTTGTTTACGCCTTTTTTATAGGCTTAAAAAATATGACGTCATTCTTCCTTATGTCCTTGAGGCAAAGGAATGGTAATTCGAGGCAGCCTAGCTGACATATGCGGCGTGAGTCATCAAAACCAGGGATGTCGCGAACCTCCATAGGTTCGAAATCGAAAGGTTTCGATATTTTCGAACCAACCTGATGTTCGAATTCGAAAAGTTTTGATATTTTCGACCGTACAGGAATTCGAATTCGAAAAATTCGCAACTTTCAAAAATCGTGGAGTTTCGAATTTAAAAAAGTTCGAAGGTTTCACGGTTTCTAAAAGTTTGGGTTCGATTATTTCGAACATTTTTTTTTTTTTTTACTTCAGGTTCGAGAAATGCAAAGATTTCAAACTTTTCTAACTTGAAATTCGAGAGATTCGAATGTTTCAATTTTTTTTTCCATCTGAAATTCGGAAAATGCGAACGTTTCGAATTCTTATAGAAATAAAGGTCGGAAAGTTCGAAGGTTTCGATTTTCTTTTAGGGCTAAATTCGAAAAAAAAAAACTTTAAAGGTTTCGAATTTCTTTCAAGTCCAAGTGCGCGAAGTTCGAAGTCTGGTTTTCATGTTCCGCCAAAGTTTTAGTTTCAAATAACGTTTTCATGCCTCAGTGGTTTTCACGAAATCAGGTTTAGAAAAGTTCAGGTGTGATATTTAGACTGCGCGAAGTTGGTCAGACAATTAAATGCGACCACGAGTGTCCCGGGTGTGCTGGAATATTTGCCAGTGCAGAGTGACGTGTGACCACAGATCAGTAATTGTGGTCACACCGTGCATCACGAAGTAGTAATCCCACGAACGCACTGTTTAACGATACTCATCCAGTTTGAAACGGCCAGGGGCAGGCAGGTCGTTGAGGCTCAGAAAAACCTTGAAGCGATCTGGCAAACTGCCTCCCTTGCACGCTGGTAGTAATCCGATCGAACGCCGCCCGAATGACGCTGGCATATACTAGGTTTAGTTCGTACACGATGCAAAATCCTGAGACTGGGAATGAAATTTGAAAGAAAAAGTGTAAGAAGACAGAAAAAAGGGGACAGGACAACGTCTCCAACGCAGCTCAGGACAACGTCTCAAACTTAACTCAGCTGAAAACTCAGCTCAGGACAACGTCTCAAATTCAACTCAGCTTAGTTTGAGACGTTGTACTGTCCCCTTTTTTCTTTCTTCTTACACTATTTCTTGCGAACTGCATTCCCAGTCTCAGGATTTTGCATCACGATCAACATACACCAGCTCGCCTGCACCTTGACAATTTTTTAGTTTGTGATTGCTTTGGAGGTTTATTTTCCGGGACGGAAGAAACGCCGAGCAAAAAGCACAGAAGCTAACACAACTTGAAGTCGAGGAGTGTTCTACCATACCAGTGGCGTCGAAAGAGGAAAAGCCGGGAGGGAGGGGGGGGGGGGGGGGGCTCCAGTCTCTTTCTCCCCCCCCCCCCCCCCAGATATTTCGGACTGTTAAAGAAAACAATACGGGGAAAGACGGCATGGTCGAGCGTATTTTAACCTGAAATTATTTATGCATATGTTTAGCTACTGTCGCTCTTCACTGCATGAAAGATCGCGTAGATCAGGGGTCGCCAGGCTGACCCGGCTTATGAGCCGCAAACAAAACCAAGAAACTGTAAGAGCCGCGGCGGGGGGGGGGGGGGGGACGGGGGGGGGGGGGGTTAGAATGGCGTCCACCCGGGCTTCCGCGATCTTCACCAAGAAACGATAGGGACCATCCATTATCTAAAGGGGACAAGTATCACCGGCGAGTGACGAAGGCCGCGAAACTGAACATTTCCTCGACCCCAAGCCAAAGCGCATGCGTGGTTTGACAGTCCCTGTCCTTGATGCCTTTCCCCCTAGGGTCCGGCAAACTCCCTCGAACAATAAAAAAACAGGATCTGTGGAAACATACAAGCGAAAGCGGTTCGACTGTACGTATGGGGGCACAAGGCTGACAAACCGCAAGCTATTCTTTATTATGAAATCCTTGGTTCCGCGGTTTGGCCAAGTGCGGTCCAAGTGCGGTTCCGCGAGCCGCACTTGGACCAGCGAAGAGCCGCATGCGGCTCGCGAGCCGCGGTTCGGCCACTCCTGGCGTACATGGTCACTCTTAGAAACTCGTTGTCAGAAGGCACTCGTCACATGCTCGGTGCTTCGGAAGTTCAAAACTATATCTGTTCGACCTAAATAACTATGCCATTGGTAAAAAAATAATAAATAAATAAACATAACAATAAACGCAGAAATAAAAAGCTAAAGAGAAAAAAAAAAAAAAAAAAAAAAAAAAACTACCAAGAACCCGCAGAAAGTGTTGTATTCTTGAATATTCAGAGGCCCAGAACTACGAAACAAGTTCCTCCTACCAAAATGTGTCGAGGCTAAAAGGAACACGTCCCAGGGATGTAAATTAATAATAAACAAAAAAACATTAAAAATGCTTTTTTTTTATGACGTGCTTAACTTGAACAATTTTAGAAATCTTCTCCCATGAGTTAATTTATTCCTCAACGTGAAAAAAACAATAAATACATTATTTTGTATTCTGCAGAGGGTAATGATATGTACTGTCTATGGTGTTAATTTAAGTGCGATACCTCACACAATTTAGACGAAAAAAAAATTACCAAGTTTAGGGCATAATTGCCCGTAGATACATGTTTGGATATTTCTCCGAAACTCGTTTTGAACAACAATAATCATATCTCAAGACGACACTTACCTAGGCTATACGATGATCATTCTTAAAAAAGTTTAACATCTCTAACATAAATAGCTGAGGCTGTAGTGCGCTTCAAATATGGCACAAACGACAATCGTCAAAAACCCGTCGTCCTTTCTCGCTCCTTCGGGAATCTACTTCTCTAAAACCAAGCATGCCAGATGATTGAAATAAACGGCATTGTCTTTCGCAAGGAATGCGGCACCGCATGTAAATATGCGAAAAAAAAAAAGAAAAAAGAATTACGAATGTACCTTAGAGCTTGAATCCAAATGAAACCACCCGCCGGTCTTTCCAAGTTCGACGAACTTCGAACTTTTACGCTAAAAGTTCGAAGTTCATCCACCTTTCGACTTTTCAGGAATCGGCAGTTCGACAATTTTATAATTCTTTAGATTAATAACTTTGAAAATTATCGAATTTCTTAGCGTAAGAAGTTCGAAAGTAATCGAATTTTGCAGCGTAATAAGTTCGAAATTTCGAAGAGCGTCGAACTCGTCAGTTTAGTAAGGCCGAAAATTCGACTTCAGTCGAATTTCCCGATATAGAAAGTCGAAAATTCGAAGTCTTTCGAACCGCCTGATTCGATCATCGAACCTTCGGTTCGAAAAAAGTTCGGGGCATCCCTAATCAAAACTAAATTTGCCGTTTCGTGTTTAGGCATTGTAAGGTAAGTCAGCGCCTTCGAGGAGCGGTGACACGCTGTAGAATGAAGATGATAAATTTAGCCAGTGCAGTACGACGGTACGACTGATAGCCTGGGGTCTTTGCCGCATGCAAGCGATTTCGCAAGCGACAAGACGAGCGCCGGCTACAAGCGACCGAGTCTGCGACGAGCGGCGGAGATTTCAGGCTGAACCGCCTGCAGGTGGTTTGGCGAGCGACGAGTCAGGGACGAGCGCCGAAGATTTTTCCCTGCCGCTCGGTTTTTAGATTTCTAGAAAACATCGCTCATCACGTTGGTCGCTTGCTACCGTCGCTTTCTCGCGGTTTGCCTCGTCGCGGGATTGACCGCGGCACAGCGAAGCGGGTCGCCGTCGCCTGCTCGTCGCTCGCCAAATCGCTTACATGCGGTTACGCGCATCACGACAACACGCCGGTACGATGCTCGTCCAGATCAAAACCGGCAGAGGCGGCGAATGAACCCAGGATCCTCTGCAGCGCAAGCTTTTATTCCACGTGCTCCGATCTGCGGTGCGCCAATACAGTCGGCCACCGATACCCCGCGTGAGCCACCGACGAGCTACAACGCACTGAATGAATCGGAACACGTGAAGGAAAACGAAAGCACGACCAGGCGCGCTGATGAACACAACTTTGCACATATAGTTCCTTGTTATGCTTACCGTCCGTGCGGTCCATGTGAAATCGGTCGAGTTGTCGGACTTCAGAACTTGGAATCCTGCAAGTTGTCCCAGAGACCGAGCCACAGAGCCAATCAGAAACGAAGCTAACGGCGAAAACGAGGCAGTGGAGACGACGACAAAGAGCCAAAGATCCGCGCGGGTGCCACTCGTCGACTCGTCGCTCTGCCGCTATGTTCCTACGTACCTGTCCCTGTTGCTAGATGGCGCAAGTAGTCTGAGCAGCGGTCAGATGCAGCGACAGAGGAGCAGACGCTGGGAAAGCAAACAGTAGGGAGTTTTCGTAGAGCGCGTTTTCCCCTCCGCTACGAAGCCGCTCCTGCGAATGCGCGCCGATAGCCTTCACGGTAGAGTTCTGGGTCTCGTAGCGGGCTGCGGCGAGCGTTGCGGGGCGGTGAAAACGATCTACGAAAACTCCCTTTTATCAAACACAGGTTACCGGACTGGTTGGTGGCATAAGTCGAGGGAAGAGGTGAAGTGGGGCTGCACTAGCCCAACACCTCCTAGAAACTAAGGCTGTAGCGCTCTTCTCGTGACGTCGCAAAGGAAGGCCATCGGGGGCGCGCGTCGAAACGAAGGCAACGCGCGTGGATCGACCGTCGTAGCGCGCCTTTAGTCACATACGCGTGTCTTATTAGCTAAAATGAAAGCTGCACATAGCAACGGGTCTTGAAAACATTTTATTACACAGGCAAACATTACACCGCTAACTATTCAAAACGAAATAGCACGAGGTATGCGTATAAGACGTCTAAACACAAATGTGATTGTTTTAAGTCGAAAACGTTCAGCAACACAATTATTGCTGTAGGAATGCATATTTCCTACAGAAATACTTCGACAAAATGGCGACACACGGAGTGATTGGACAAAGCAAAACAGATCACAGTTAAAAATCAGGTAGACGTAGTCAACGCGTACACGGCTGGACAATGTCACTTACGATCAGTGTTGGGTAAAGTACAACTAAGAGGTACTTGAAGTAATGTACAAAGTAACAGAGACCTGTTGTGCTTCAAGTAAAGTAGTAAGTACACTGGGCGCAATGTACTTGAAGTAAAGTACTATAAATACAGTGTACTTCGAAAGTAAAGTACACGTATTTTAAAACAATCTTTCATTACGCTCTTTCATTCCGCTATACAGTGATCTTTTTAACTGGTATGCATTGCCTAGGGGTAATCAGGGGTGCATGACCTATTTCCAAAAACAGTGGCGAATATGCGATAAAACCAAATGGACATAGAGTAGCTTTTTCTCAGGGATAGGGCCAAATTCTGAAGTCCCGCTTTTGAATTCGGCGCCGCTTGCACTGGTTTGTTGCACCCAAGCGGGTTAAATGAACAAGGAGAGGGCATGGCATCAGCCCCGTTGCTTCCGCAAGCAATCCTCTCATATGGGAGAGTCCTCTCCTTAATAAAAAAAAAAAAAAATAATACTGAGTGTGCAAGCAAGCTGGTGATAATTAATCATAATGTGACACCTGAGATTGGGGTGCGAAAAAAATTAAGGAACTCTCAAGTCGAAGGAAAAGAAAAAAAATAGAATGTCTCAAAGCATTGTGGCGTTCTCTGTCGTCTCTTTCTTCGACTTAAAAGTTTAATTTTTCCGCACCACAGTCTCAGGTGCTACATATAATTAATTTTGCTCTGCTAATATTTTAAACCTCTTCGCTTGCGCTGACCTACCGAGAAGTAGCGAGAGTTCAAAAAGCTACGGCAAAGCCGCCCCCAGAACAAACAGAGAGATGCATCGTCTGCTCAAGTTTCTGGTGAGAGTAGAATATCTCTCCCAGTATTTCTCCGAAGTGGACAAGGCATCATTTCATGATACAAAATTAACAAAACCAAATTTGGGGAATGTACTTTGAAATCTAGAATTGTACTTTCCTCGGAAAGTACCAGAAAAAAATACTTTAAGTAAGGTACAAGTACGTACTCAGAGAATGTACTTCAAGTAGAGTACATGTTTCCTAAACCTACTTGAAGTAGTACTTTAAGTATAATGTACTAAGGTACCTCCCAACACTGCTTACGATCATGTAAGCCATGTTATCGCGTGCAGTCACTGAATTATTGCATTATACTGCGGCCACATACAAAATTATTGTCATTTCGGTCGAATGCCAATATGGGGTCGGCAAATCAGCTTGCGACACTCGTATAATGACTCAAGACCGCGAGCTCATTAAATCCCATAACATTTAATGAAAATATATTAACATTTCCGTGTGGCAGGGGTACTAAACTTGCCATTTACACTCAACTAATTTACTCCTCCTATGGGCTCGAGCTGCCTTAGAACAAAATAAAACTTGTTTTGTATACAATAATACTATTACCTTAAAGGGCCTCTGACACTCCAAAAAAATGCAAAGTGCCCGCCAGTGCCCTGTGACGTAACAGTGTAGCCCAAGGTGTCGGGGCAGACAGAAGGGAGGCATCGACCTAATTGTCACTAAATTGTGTTCGCCGGAAGTCACGTGAGTGTCACTCCTCGTGCTCCCCACGAAAGTGGCTAAGACATTTTTTTTTGTCTTCTCCACGAGCGATTGTAGAGAACGAAGTTCCAGTAGAGAACGAAGTTTCAGTTCCACTAGCTTTTTATCACTGCACCGTTGGTTAGTTTGCGCTCTGTAAAGGTTGGGGGCGAAAGAGTCAGTAGGTCGACGTGAGGAGGTCAATAATGAAAGCGTTGCGAGTACAAGCCAGTGTACAAGTGCATGCCATCAGTCCTATAGTACAGAGCCATACTGGACACAAAACAAGCTATCGAGTTTTGAAAACAACAACAACAAAAAAATAGAACGCTTGTAGAAATTAGGATGTGTAGCATACGTCACGCCCGATCGCATTGCTGAAGGTTCAGACACCACGGTCGTCGAATCCTCAGATACTGTCCAGGCTGAAGATGCCCGCAGTCTAGAGAATACGAACTGGTGAGTGTACCAAGTACAAGTAAACGTCGAGCATAAAGTACGTGTTGTTTCTAGAACATGAGTAGAACTTGTTTACTAGGTTCACTGTCTCCTTTTCTTCTACCGTTACAGCAACATCAGGCGATAAAAAGCAAATAAAATAAACCTTGTACGCTTGGATGGCTCGCGAAGGTGCAGACAATAACAAACATATAAAAAAAAAGATATTACACGCAGTCGCGGTAAGCACGAGGAGTGATACAACTCATGTGACTTCCGGCGATGCCTCCCTTCTGACCGCCCTGACCTCTTGCGGTACATTGTTACGTCACAGGGCATTGGCGGGCACTTTGAATTGGCTTAGTATTTTTATTTTTTTATAAAAGAACTACGCAACTCTAAAGTGAAACAATTCTTTGGTGATATCCTGGTGCACCATTTTAACGCCTAGCATAAAAAAAAAATTTTTTTTTTTTTTTTGGGGGGGGGGGGGGGCGTGTCAGAGGCACTTTAGTACAGTTAAGATTGTAGTATACGCGCGGTAAAGGCAATAAAATAACATTAGTATAAATAAACATATAATCACAAAGCACTTTCAATATTCACACTAACTTGTTATTGATCTTCCAGCAAAAACTTGAATATTACCACGTATATTTACAGATGTCGACGCAACAGCACGCGGATAACGACGAGGAACAAGATTCCATTCTATCACGAGATGTAAAAAAAAAAAAAAAGTCGACTGCAACGCTTTGTTCGCGTTTTACATGACCAAGAAAGTCCATAAATAAGTTGTTTCTCACCTGTCGATCGTATCCATACGTCCCGCAATATCCGCCACGAAAACATTTGAACACGAACTCCAAGAGCCCTGTTTCTGTCGAGAGAGAGGTCTATCAATAATCGGCCAGTGTCATCGTTGACTAGTTGTCACACATGTCACTCAAACCGTAGCAGGACTTATTCCGCGAATGCATGTAAATGCGGTAGTATCAAACAATAAAAAAAAAAAAAAACTACCTGAGATTGCGGTGACGACAGAAAGGCGACCGGAAGAAAGAAAGGAGTATCAAAGGAACCACACACGAGAGCAACGGCAGCAGTGTGGGACGAAAGGCTTAACGTTGTCGACCCATCTCTTGCTCGTGCGCGCTCCCTGCGTCGATGACTGGATTTTTTTCCCTTCCCGCTTCTGAAATATCTCAGCGTTCCTTTCCACACAGTCAGCAGCTCACACACAACGTAAATTTTCCAGAATCGGAGCCCTTTTAAGGGAAGAAAATGTCGCACTACTAGAGCCTGTTCATTCGAAAAGTGGGAAGGAGCTGCGAGACTGCATATAGTCCCGCGGTTACGGGGATAATCATAAATATAAATTTGGGACTTTCATCCTTGGTAACTTGTTGTATACTACGTTCATATTATATATATATATGATAAATTGCACAGTAATGAGCTTTTAAAACATGTATTAATGACGGATAAACGCGCACAAACACTACCGCGCCCCTCATCAAGAATTTTTTGTTTCTTTCACGTCGATACCATATATTTTTTTTACGTAGATGCGCCATGGACTTTCTTCTCCGACATTGTGACGTAACCATTCGGGGCGCTACGGCCTTCTTTTCTAGGCGACCTTGACTAGCCCCACTTCACCTCAGGCCGAGCGGACCGTAGGCCTCATCCCCGATACAGCCTCTAACGACCATCCTTCAGCGCCTATCGCCCTTCTGCATCACCTGCTGTGGGAGTGCTCAGCGAGACGACGGGAGAGGGAGGCTGCACTAGCCAAGCTCGGCTCAGCGAGTCGACCCAAGACGCTCGAGGTTTGGACGGCGCCAACAGGCCCCAATGAAGTAAGGAGGCTTGTATTCGACTCGCGGTTGGCTTACATCAGAACGGCTGGTGTAGCCGGCCTCATATAGTTCCTCCTCCCCCTTCCCTCCGCCATATGCCTCTCCCCTTCCCTTCGCGGCAACGTATGCAACTGGCCGCGTCGTACCCTCCTATACCCAAATAAAACGTTTCAACGGCAACAATTTCCTGGAGAACGGTGGATGAAGTCTTGAGCTCAGCAGGGATATGAGCTTACTTTGCTTTGACCTTCTCCGTGGATTACGAATTTAATCTGAAATGAGTTAATTTGAATTAGAGGCTTTGACTAGGTGGTGCAAAGGTTCAGTCGTATCCATTCATTCCATTCAGTACACGTAGTGCAGTGCAGTGCAGAGGTGG